GCAGGACTGCGTGGTTTGGCGACCCCCGTGAAATGGCCGTTCGACCCCAAATGGGGTCCCGACCCACAGGTTGAGAACCGCTGCTTTAGGGAGTTGTTGAGGCCATTTGAGGACACAGACAAACCTCCCAGTGGCCTCAACGACTCTCTCAAAGGAGGCAAAGGACCAGCGGTCTGCAAGGAGTATAAATCCTTCCCTTCCCCACCATCCAGTCAGAGCTGAAGAAGCTTCTGGGATGAGAAGCGAAACGTCTTCAAAGGGAAAACAAGAAAGCCCTGAAAAAAAAGCAGCTTTGGGACAATCAGCGGACAAACCTCCCTATCAAACACTTGGGACAATAAGGAGCTGCTACCTTCCACGGCTTCCTCCACCTGTTGCGTGCGTCTCAGAGCGAGCATCCTGTTCCTCCGGTGTCTGGGCATCCCTTCTCCTCGCTCGCCAGCCAAGGGCTGAGGTCGGGCGGCTGCTGCGGCCAGCACATTTTCACGGAGTTCCTCATCATCTAGATAAGAAAAAGAAGGCGTTTTATGGTCGGTTGACGATAACCGAGAGACGGTTTTGGTGTAGTTGTTAAAGGCACAATACCAGAAAACAAAGAGTGCCGTTCTCGCTTTAGGCACAAAGCCAGCTGGAGGACTTGGACCTCTCTCTTAATCCTGGAAAAGGAAAGTCAGGACACTGATGTTATTATGAATGGAAGGGAAGGGAAGGGAAGGGAAGGGAAGGGAAGAGAAGAGAAGAGAAGAGAAGAGAAGAGAAGAGAAGAGAAGAGAAGAGAAGAGAAGAGAAGAGAAGAGAAGAGAAAATATGGAATGGAATGGAATAGAACAGAATAGAAAATATGGAATTGAATTGAATTGAATTGAATGGAATGGAATGGAATAGAACAGAGAATGGAATGGAATAGAATAGAATAAGAATAGAATAATGATAGAATGGAATAGAATAGAATAATGATAGAATATAATATAATGCAATATAGAGAAATGGAATAGAATATAAGAATAGAATAGAATATTCTTTCCTATTCTTTCTGTTCTCTTTCTGTTCTCATTCTATTCCATTCCATTCCATTCCATTCTATTCTATTCTATTCTTCTTTCCTATTCTCTATTCTATTCTATTCTATTCTATTCCATTCTATTCCATTCTATTCTATTCCATTCTATTCTATTCCATTCTATTCTTCTTTCCTATTCTCTATTCTATTCTATTCTATTCTATTCTATTCTATTCTATTCCATTCTATTCTATTCCATTCTATTCTATTCCATTCTATTCCATTCTATTCTTCTTTCCTATTCTCTATTCTATTCTATTCTATTCTATTCTATTCTATTCTATTCTATTCCATTCTATTCTATTCTATTCCATTCTATTCTTCTTTCCTATTCTCTATTCTATTCTATTCTATTCTATTCTATTCTATTCCATTCTATTCTTCTTTCCTATTCTCTATTCTATTCTATTCTATTCTATTCTATTCTATTCTATTCTATTCTATTCTATTCTTCTTTCCTATTCTCCTATTCTATTCTATTCTATTCTATTCTATTCCATTCTATTCTATTCTATTCCATTCTATTCTTCTTTCCTATTCTCTATTCTATTCTATTCTATTCTATTCTATTCTATTCTATTCCATTCTATTCTTCTTTCCTATTCTCTATTCTATTCTATTCTATTCTATTCTATTCTATTCTATTCTATTCTATTCTATTCTATTCTTCTTTCCTATTCTCCTATTCTATTCTATTCTATTCTATTCTATTCTATTCTATTCTATTCTATTCTATTCTATTCTATTCTATTCTATTCCATTCTATTCTTCTTTCCTATTCTCTATTCTATTCTATTCTATTCTATTCTATTCTATTCTATTCTATTCTATTCTATTCTATTCTTCTTTCCTATTCTCTATTCTATTCCTATTCCTATCCTGTAAATTCAAGATTTGGTCAGTTTTGAAAGTGAGTGCCACTGAATTTAGGCTGGCTTGCTTCCCAATAGGCACATAGGCCCTGCCCAATAAAACCACTTTATGTGTTTTCCCTTCAGTTGCATTTTTTACCACATGGAAAATAAAATGTTTAAAATGGCTTCCCAAAAATATCTTTAACAGGCTTCAATGCAATCCTTCAAAAGCCAGAAGAAACGATGCCCCTAAAGGGACATTACATTTGAGGGGCAGCCACAAAGAAGGGGGGGGGAGAGGGTGTCAGCCTATACTCCAAAGTGCCTGAAGGCAAGACAAGACACTGTGGATGGAAACGAATCAAAGAGAGAAGCAACCTGGAACTAAGGAGAAATTTCCTGATAATTAACAATGAATTAACAATGAATGAGTGGAATAGCTTTCTTCCAAACGTTGTGGATGTTCCATGACTGGAGGTTTTTAAGAAGAGATTGCACAATCGTTTGTCTGGAATGGTAGAGGGTCTCCTGTGTGAGCAAGGGGTTGGACTAGAAGACCTCCAAGGTCCCTTCCAATTCTCTGTTATTTTGATATCAATCAATGCACCGGCACGTCAATTCCTACCACCCCTATCTGATGTGGTATTTTGCTTTGGGGGCAGATAAGTAGGCATTAACTGTTTAAAACAATTAACAGTTAGAACAATTAGCCAGTGGAACAACCTGCCTCCAGAAGCGGTGATTCATTCTTTCTTTCTTTCTTTCTTTCTTTCTTTCTTTCTTTCTTTCTTTCTTTCTTTTCTTTCTTTCTTTTTCTTCTTCTTTTTCTTCTTCTTCTTCTTCTTCTCCTCCTCCTCCTCCCTGTTCTTCTTCTTCTTCTTCTTCTTCTTCTTCTTCTTCTTCTTCTTCTATTATTATTATTATTATTATTATTATTATCCTATGCGGGGGGAGGATTATGTGAGTGTGTGGGGTAAGGAAATGGTGTTTTATCTCGGAAATGTACCCATCTGGGTTTCAGGCTGGGCAAAAATGTATGTTGTGCAAAATGTATATTGTGCAGCTAATGGGATGTGTTCAAGACATTGAAATAGTTCCTATTACATTATTCAATAAAAACACTTATCCAGGCCACAGCAACATCAAACCCAATGATTGGCGTCAGGAGCATTTAGATTTTTCTCCCAAAAATCATTTTAAAAGCTTGGGAACGTTAAAATGCCTCGCTCCGGCACCTAACAGAAACTCAAAGACACCCTTTAAATAAGACATTCTATTAATGGATGTCTCATTATGCCAAAGTCTGAATCTAACATACCGACGAGTCAAAAATAAAATTTTTATTGTTGCCAGGGCAATAAAAATGAGTAGTCATGGTCACTACAGTCCCTATTAATATACAGTAGCCATATTAAATTCTGCATTATATTTTACTTACATTCATAGTTTCTTTTGCACAATTTCCTCCCTCTGGTCTATATATTTTTTTTTAAATGTGCTGGATTAATTGATGAAACAAACTCTTTTTTTTTCATTAAAAGGGCAGACAAAAATGCAAGAGTAAATTTCTGTTACTCATTTTGCTCTCCGGATACGTTTTTTGCAGGAAACCCTAGTCTGGTAGCCTGTTTCCCAACCATCAAATTTTATTTAAAGAAAGCAGTTTTTGTGCTAAAGTACAGTTTTGAGCTAAGCAGTCTATGAAGCTGCAGCTTATGAAATCTAAAAAAATAATAACATTGGCCATCAGCAACTCCATTTGGAAATATTACCACACGCTCAAAGAACTGAGTTAAACTCAGAATTCTACAGAACTCAGAGGTTTTTTTTAAAAAAAGAGGATAAACAATGCTGTATATAGGGTGCGAGGCTTAAGTGTGGTCTATTTAAGATTCAACACCACTGTTCAAAAGATTGGATCAATTAATTGCAGAGGATTGTTGCAAACTATACTATGAGTAATGAGCAAGTCGTCCTTGCACGGGTGAAAATAAACTTTTTCCCCCTCTGGTTCAATTAAAAAAAAAAAAAAAGATTTACGTAAGCAGGAATATGCAAAAACCATCTTTTTTCATATAGTTGAAATGTTTTATTCCTTTGTCAATAAGAACTGAAGTAGTTCAGGTAATCAAGACAAAGCCTTGCACAGGTAAGGAGTGTGCAAATTAGACTATGGTGCAACTACACCTAAAAAATAAGCTAACGGACTGATAATACCACATCCTGGGACACCTATCCTGCATGAGACATATCAAATCAAGCTAGCTAAGTTGCGAAAGATCACACAGCTGAGGTGTGACAAGGTAGTTGGAGACAGATTGAACGATTGCAGGACTTGGGTATGGCTAGTTCTAGAGAAAAGAAGGACTAGGGGTGACCTGATAACAGTGTTCCAATATTTGAGGGGTTGCCACAAAGAAGAGGGGTTCCATCTATTCTCCAAAGCACCTGAAGGCAGGAGAAGAAACAATGGTTGGAAACTAATCAAAGAGAAAAGCAACCCAGAATTAAGGAGAAATTTCCTGATAGTGAGGACAATTAACCAGTGGAACAGCTTGCCACCAGAAGTTGTGGGTGCTCCCTCACTGGAGATTTTTAAGAAGAGACTGGACAGCCATTTGTCTGAAATGGTATGAGGTCTCCTGCTTGAGCAGGGGGTTGGACTAGATGACCTCCAAGGTCTCTTCCAGCTCTATTCTATTCTGAAATTCAGATCCATTTGCCACCAATTGTGAACACCACTGTGAAATTCATTTAAAAGGCACCAGGTTGGGGACAGCCCAAGTGCACCATGCCCAACATTCCTTATTTTCCCTAACAGGCCCTTTGCACATGATCAGAAGCAGCCATGCGGCCAGAGAGAGGAGGGCCCAGGGCCCCTGAAAAAAAGAGAATTTAGGACAGCCACCCCCAAAATCAATCAAGAACCCAAAGAAAAGCAGTCTGTATCCTCAGAGCCCGTCTCTTGACCGCTTAAATCAGGGGTCTTCAAACTTGGCCCTTTTATGACTGGTGGACTTCAACTCCCAGAATTCCTGAGCTAGGCACGCTGGATGAGGAATTCTGGGAGTTGAAGTCCACTCCTCTTAAAATCTATATCAGGGGTCTTCAAAGTTGGCACGCTGGCTGGGGAACTCTGGGAGTTGAAGTCCACAAGTCTTAAAGTGACCAAGTTTGAAGACACCCCCCTGGCTTATATGGAGCACCCAGGGACCAGTTAAGAGACGCTGGACTACAACTCCCAGACTCTCCAGACAGCGCAGGCGGTTAGACGCTGGCCAGAGGGATTGTGGGAGTTGTGGTCCCAGGAGCATAGAGGCCTCCGGCTAGAGGAGGCCCTCGCCCGGAAGTCCTCTCCCCCCGCCGCAGACCGTCCTCTCCGCCGACCCCGCTAGGCGGAGGCTCCTACCTGCGCGCGCCTGTCCCCGGACGCGGCTGACGAAGATGAGGAGCGCCGCCAACAGCACCGCCGCCACCACGTAAAGTACCGGGTCCATGTTCGCCACGTGACCGCCGTAGCCCCGCCTCTTTCCCGTGGGCCCTCTATCGGGGAACCGAGCAATCCGGAGCGAGGATAGGAAAGCGGAGGGCGGGGATCGGAGGCGATGGCCACGCCCACTCTTTGCCTCCCTGGTCGGCTAGGGCGGAAAAGGCGATCAGGGGTGGGTGGGGGGGAGAGGTTCGCTCTCCCGCGGCGTCGCCTAGCAACCGCAGAGCGTTGACGTGGGGCTTTTCCCTCGCCGATTTAGAGCTGTCCGACGAGGTGCCTGATTGGAAAAATAAGTTGCCTTTATTTTGGCTTGGGAAATAAGACCAGCCGATTAATGAGGAGATTGGCAGATAGACTTGTGCTATCCAATTATTTTATGAACGGACGTTTAGAGCGGGGGGTCTCCAAATTTTGGCAGCTTTAAGACCTGTGTACTTCAAGTCCCAGAATTCCACAAGGTATCGCCGAATTTAGGGTCTTTTGAAGGGCCTTCCCGGTAGCTTATAGCAGAGGTCTTCAAACTTGGCCCTTTTATGACTTGTGGACTTGCGACTCATCGCTGGCTGAGGGATTCTGGGAGTTGAAGTCCACAAGTCATAAAAGGGCCAACGTTGAAGACCCCTATTATAGGCACAGAAAAGAGGTGTCTAAGCTTCTGCCTGAGTGCAGGTGCCATGCACTTTTAAGAGTGGTGAGGAGAAGGCTGTCTCTGCAGTAGGAATTCCCCCACGCCATATAATGCAACTTTTGTGTGTGTGCACATTTCCAATATACGAATGGCCTTCCTGTAAGACAGGGGTTCTCAACCTTGGCAACTTTAAGACTTGTGGACTTCAACTCCCAGAATTCCTCAGCCAGCTTTGCTGGCTGAGGAATTCTGGGAGTTGAAGTCCACAAGTCTTAAAGTTGCCAAGGTTGAGAACCCCTGCTGTAAGAAATACTGGAGAGCACTTGAGCAACGTGCACCCATTTCTGCAGAAAGCCAAACCAAAAGTTACTAAAAATATTCCTATGAAGAAGAAAAAAAGCTAATTACAATACAGAGCTGATGTCCAGGATGGTGTTTTTCAAACTCGGCTCAAATTTAAGATGTGTGGACCAACCAGTAGAAGTGGCCAGCCAGCATGCTGATTTCAACCAAGCATTATATATATCCACTTGCCTCCTTCCCTCTCTCCTTCCCTTCCCTTCCTCTACTTATCCATCTATCTGTCTTTCAGTCTATCATCTATATCAGTGGTTCTCACCCTCTGGGTCGGGACCCCATTTGGGGTCGAACGACCATTTCACGGGGGTCGCCAAACAACGCAGTCCGCCATTTTTCCCCCCTTTTCCTTAGCTGTGCTACTCCCTTTTATTCTATTGGCTTTTGAAAGCCAATCGAAGAGACTCTCTTGAATAGAGTCTAATTCTATTGGCTTTCAAAAGCCAATAGGAATTGTCCAGGCTGTCTCTGCCCTGCTGAGGCCGCCAAAAGTCCCATTCTGCAAACGGTGCTGCACCAGTTGAGTAGTCCTCGACTTACGACCGGTTGGGGGGGTCGCGGCATTAAAAAGGTTGAGAACCACTGATCCATATAGTCATTTATGTCCCTTCCCCTATTTATCCATGCATCACCATGTATCCATTTCCTTCTTTCCTTCCCCCTTCCCTTTCTACTTATCCATCCATCCATCATACACCTCCCCTCTTCCCTTCTATCTATCCATCATCATATATCACCTTCCTTCTTTCCTTCCCTTTCTACTTATCCATCCATCCATCTATCCATCATATACCTCCCCTCTCTTCCCTTCTATCCATCCATCATCATATATCCCCTTCCTTCTCTTCCTTTTCTTCCTCCCTCTCTCTTTCCTTCCTTCTTTCCTTCCCTCCCTCCCTCCTTCCTTCTATCCCCTCCCTTTCCCTCTCCTTCTTTCCTCCCTCTCTTCTCTCTTCCTTCTTTCTCCATCCCTCCCTCCATCTCTTCCATTTCTCTTTTCTTCTTCTGACATTCTTCTCACCACCCGCCGAACAGCCATGACTAGTCCCTCTACTTACCATGGGATGGAGAGGCGGCTAGTTTTGCAAAATGTAGCCTTTGTGAGGTGCAAACATCCATTCTTTGACTTTGTGCAGATGACGAGTTAACAATTGACAGTGGACCGGATGAGAGAGCCGGCTATTTGTCTTCTGGCCCAGTATGGAAAGATACTCTTGTATTGTTAGGTATAGCCTAACAATCCTCAAGCTAGGCCTAAGTTTTATTCTACGATGCCCTCAGCAAAATTTTCCCTTTCCACCAGATGGTGGTGACCAGCTATGATGATCAACTAAAAGGAACTTGAGGATTTTTCCACTCTGTTTCAGTCAGCCTATGGCTGGGGCATTCTGGGAGTTGAAGTCCACACATCTTATAGCTGCTGAAGTTTGAAAAAACACTTACAATTTTATAGTTCTTTCCCAAGCTGAGACTGACTGGAGGTGAAACTGCGTTTCTGGAGTTCAGTCTATTTATTCTGCTTTGGCAATAATGCCAGATGGGGTTACCATGGCTCCTGATTGATGGATTCCTGGTTGTTGTTGTTTTTAAATCCCAAAGACCCGTGGGGATCAAATCGTTTGGGTGACTAAGGGCTTTTATCCACTTGCAGAGAGATCCAACCTGGAATTAAGGAGAAACTTCCTAACAGTGAGGACAATTAACCATTGGAACTGCTTGCCACCAGACGTTGTAGGTACTTCATCACTGGAGGCTTTTAAGAAAAGAATGGACAACCGCTTCTCTGAAATAGTATAGTGTCTCCTGCTTGAGCAGGGGGCTGGACTAGAAGACCTCCAAGGTTCCTTCCAGCTCTCTTCTGATTCTGGGTGTTAATTTTGTTTCAGCAACATGCTAGAAGCTTTAAGATCTCCTCTGCTCTCTGAAAAGGCACCGTCTAACTTTGGGTTACAACTTACGGCCACAATGGAGATACAGGAGGTCAGTGCCCCCCTCCTCTCAGAGAATGAAATACTTTGGGGAATATTAAAAGAGGCAGGAGAAAATATTTCATCTGAAGGAGAAATGGAGACAAAACCTTAGGTAGAAACAGCCTCCCTGTGGTCAGTGATGAATACAACCATCGTACAGGCAGTCTTCAATTTAATAACTGTTTGTTTAATGACCAAGGTTACAACAGCAGTGGAAAAATGGATTTATGCCCATTTTCCACACTTAGGACCATTGCAGCATCCCAGTGGCCACGTGATTAAAATTCAGGCATTTGGCAACTGACTCGTATTTATGACAGTTGCACTGTCCCGGGGGGGGGGGAATCACTTTATTCCCTTTTGCGACCTTCAAGCCGGATCCACTTAAACAACTCTGGGACTAACTTAATAATTGCAATTTGCTGAACAAACGTGGCAAGATAAATCCGTAAAATGGGGCAAAACTCACTGAACGGTAGTGACAAACCTTGGGCTCGCTTGTGGCCGTAAGCCGAGGACCCCCCCCCCGTAATGAGATTTTTTTCAAAGCTCTGCTGGAAGTGTCAGGAAAACCATTAGCAAATCTGCTGAGAGATAGACTGTATAAACATTCGCTCGCTCTCGCACGCGGAAACGCACGCAGGCAGGCCCAGCCACGCACCCACACGTATTGATTCTGCCTTCAGCTCTGGGCTGCGCTCAAATAAAGGAAAAGAAACGCGGTTTGTTTGCCGATGGTAATTAGCCTTTCTTGAGAATATATGACTATCTGACAGTTATTCTTTTCTGCTGAAGTGATGGTGTTACAATAGAGCCACTGATGAGGGGACGCTGAGGTTTTGCGCCACTGAGCGCCCACAGGAAGAAGGATGGCAAATGTTAATTTGCAGATAAGGTTGGGTAGATCCTCGCCTGTTCGTTTGCTCCGTTGTTCCCAAAGTTCATTTTCGAAAGACAGCTGGACTTTGCTTTTTTTTTTTTTCCCCTTGAAGACGTTTCGCTTGTCATCCAAGAAGCTTCTTCAGCTCTGGCCGAAGGGTGGAAGATGGAAGGATATATCTCCCTTGCAGTCGTGGGGCACTTTTGCTGATCCCATGAAGTATCAGTACTTTATAATAACCTTAGTGAGACCGCATGCCTGGAACACAGCATCCTGTTTTGGTCGCTACGTTATAAAAAAGATGGTGAGACTTTGGAAAAAGTGCAGACAAGAGCAACTGGGAGGATTAAAGGCCTGGAGGCTAAAACACATGAAGAACAGTTGCAGGAACTGGGTAATGGCTAGTCTAGAGCAGGGGTCTCCAACCATTTTGGATTGGCGGCCCGGTGGGAGACGGAGGGGCAGGTGCCTTACATGCACATGCACAAACATGAAAGTGGACACGAGCAGGCGCACATGCAAAAAGGCTACGAGCATGTGCACCACGCAAACGGGGCTGCGAGCATGAGCACAAGGCTCTTAGCGATGGCGGCGTCTGTGTGAGGCTTGTGGTGCCGCCACCGCCAGGCTTGCGGCGATGCTCCACCAGCGCTAGGATCGTGCTGCGGCCTGCAGCAATGTCACCCAGGTGCAAGGATCGCGCTGCAGTCCGCAGTGATGCTGCCCAGGTACAAGGCTCATGCCGCTGCCCCCGTGCGAGGATTGTTCTGCAGCCCACCTGCAGCTTCCTCCCTCTTACTTACTTTCCCCTTCCTTCTCCTTTTCTCTGGATCAAAATAGCCATAGAGCTGGTCCGTGTGAGGAGAAACCTGCACGTGGGCATTTTAAAACCCCTGCCTCCCTTGTCAGGGCCTCCGTTTCTCCCTCTATAAAATCCGTCATCGTATTAACTACCTGGTTGGAAACCTGTCCTTTTCAAGCTGAGAGGTTTCTTCAAATGGAAGTTGAGGTGCCATCATTTTCGAGAGCTGAACTCAGCCCAAAGTTGCAGCTCTTCCTTCCCAACCATGTCTGTCTGGCTACCGTTCTCCTTCCTGACATTTGTTGTCCATGTAGACACCAGATGCAACCACCAGGAACATGGCTCCAGAAGTTGAAATGTTGAGGTTTAGAGGTCACACCAGCTCCAGAACTTGTCCAGTTTCTTCTAAGTTGTAGCTTTCTCCACCCAGGACCAAAATTATGAACAACGAGATTGAGCCGTCCACTCTGATGGACAGGATTTCTCTGTCATCTAGGCAATCTAGGCGTCCGCCAAGAAGACAGCTCGAACGGTTGTGGTCCTCCTACGTCTCAAGAACAAGCATGTTTTGGCGAGATATTCGCGCACCTTTTTGTACCCAAACACCACTACATACGAGCTGGCTGAGTAATATATGGAGGAGATCATGCCGTACAAGGTGCTCAAAAAACTGTTCTCCATGTTGTTCCTTTGGTACCCCAAGACAATCGTGAGCCAGACCACGTCGTTCGAGATCCAGCAAATCACATAAATGGACAGCAAGGAAAGCAGGATTTTGGTGGCCTGGGCCGTATGTTTATTCCACCCACTTCCTGCGATGGAGGATGAAGCTTTGATCTTCCTGTGATGCTTCCAGAGAAGATCTATGATGAAACCGTTGAGGGTGACGACCAGCAGGATGAGGACCATGTCCAGGCTGATGGAGGCGTACGTACTAAATTTCATGTAGAAGCTCTCTGTAGATCTCAAGCAAGTAGAAGTAGCTAAAAAGGCAATTGTCTTATTTTTTTGATCTCTAGTCTTCTTGTACTGCAAATAAGGGATTTGCAGGAGGACACTGACCACCCAACACCCGACGATGGTGCCGTTGACGTAGGGTGCCTGATGCCTGTAGATGAAGGTCGTCCATCGGCAGTTGGGCCTTCGGATCTTGATGAGGTGGAGGAAGCTCAGGTTCTCCACCGACCAGATGCTGATCAGCCTGAGGGTGTGGTAGCTGTAGAGGAGGACCCTGCAGCCCTCCTCCCCAAAGACCCTGGTGCTGCTGAAGACCAGCATCCCGGGAATGGCTTTATAGCAGCAGAGGAAGAAGTTCACAAGGCCCATATTGACAATGATGCGGTCCAGGGGTTGGAGGGCTTTGTGACAGATGGCGTGGGCCAGGAAGGCAAAGAGGACGATGAGGTTGCCGATCATGCCAACGAAGGAAGAGAAGTAGATCAGGATGGACGCGATGAACATGAAGTTGGAGGCCATGATGGTCCATCTGCGTTTGCCTTCACACCCTCCCTATCCAGATGTTCTCCTCCTTTGGCTCCAGAGATTGCAAGAGCTTAGATACGTCTCCTTTTCTTCTCACTTCACCTGTCCAGGAGGATTTTCTCCGTTCAGCTCCAGAGACCAATACTTTATAAGCTCTGCCTATCTATCCACTGGCAGCCACAATTACTCTGCTGTTTGTCTAAGCGGCTGTTATCTCAGTTTTTGAAAAGCTGGAGAGCAACTGATTGGCCAGAGACAGATTGGAAGTGTGCAAAGGGATACTGGGGAAAGGGAGGGACCAAGGGGAGCAGAATGGCCTCTTCCACCCATCACCCGTCAATCTTCTCCATTCTGAGATTTTTCCAGAAATGTTTGATTAATTGAGTACGGATCATTATACGGGAGCACACGGAATAACATTAAAGCTTTGCAAAAAATTCAAATAAAAGAAATCTACTGTAAAATAAAGAGGAGATTACAGTTAGTCCTGGACTTACAACACTTCATTTAGCCATGACCGTTTTTCACACTTATGACCATCGAAGTATCCCCTCCCTCTGTCCCTCCCTCCCAGTTTCTCGGAGTCCCCATTGGTTCTTACTTTCCCCTTCCTTCTCCTTTTCTGTGGATAAAAAAAGCCATGGAGCATGTGTAGATAAGCCTCCATGTGGGCATTTTAAAACCCCTGCCTCCCTTGTCAGGGCCTCCATTTCTCCCTCTATAAAACCCATCATCGTATTAACTACCTGGTTGGAAACCTGTCTTTTTCAAGCTGAGATATCTCTTCAAATGGAAGTTGAGGTGCCATAATTTTCGAGAGCTGAACGCAGACCCCAAAGCTGCAGTTCCTCCTTCCCAACCACGTCTGTCTGGCTACCGTTCTCCTTCCTGACATTTGTCGTCCATGTAGACACCAGATGCAACCACCAGGAACATGGTTCCAGAAGTTGAAATGTTGAGGTTTACACCATCTTCAGAACTCGTCCAGTTTCTTCTAAGTTGTAGCTTTCTCCACCCAGGACCAAAATTATGATCGACAGTATTGAGCTGTCCTCATCGATGAGAACTTCTCTGTCACCTGGGCAACGGGCCCTCCAAGGAGACAGCTCGAACCCTTGTGGTCCTCCTACATCTCAAGAACAAGCAAGTTTCGGCGAGATATTCGCGCACCTTTTTGTATCCAAACACCACCACGTACGAGCTAGCAGAATAATATATGGAGGAGATTATGCCATACAAGGCGCTCAAAAAGCTGTTCTCCAAGTCGTTCCTTTGGTACCCCAAGACGATCATGAGCCAGACCACGTCGTTCGAGATCCAGCAAACCACGTAAATAGACAGCAAGGAAAGCAGGATTTTGGTGGCCTGGGCCGTATGTTTATTCCACCCACTTCCTGCGATGGAGGACGAAGCTTTGATCCTCCTGTGATGCTTCCAGAGAAGGTCTATGATGAAGCCGTTGAGGGTGACCACCAGCAGGATGAGGACCATGTCCAGGCTGATGGAGGCGTACGTGCTAAATTTAATGTAGAAGCTGTCTGTGGATCTCAAGCAAGTCGAACTGGCCAAGAAGGCAATTGTCTTATTTCGTTGAAGTCTGGTCTTATCGTACTGCAAATAAGGGATATGCATGAGGACACTGACCACCCAACACCCGACGATGGTGCCGTTGACGTAGCGTGCCTGATGCCTGTGGATGAAGGTCGTCCATCGGCAGTTGGGCCTTCGGATCTTGATGAGGTGGAGGAAGCTCAGGTTCTCTACCGACCAGATGCTGATCAGCCTGAGGGTGTGGTAGCTGTAGAGAAGGATCCTGCAGCCCTCCTCCCCAAAGACCCTGGTGCTGCTGAAGACCAGCATCCCGGGAATGGCTTTATAGCAGCAGAGGAAGAAGTTCACCAGGCCCATGTTGACAATGATGCGGTCCAGAGGTTGGAGGGCTTTGTGGCGGATGGCGTGGGCCAGGAAGGCATAGAGGACGATGAGGTTGCCAATCATGCCAACGAAGGAAGAGACGTAGATCAGGATGGACGTGATGAACATGAAGTTGGAGGCCATGGTGGTCCATCTGCGTTTGCCTGCACACCCTCCCTATCCAGATGTTCTCCTCCAGAGATTGTGAGAGCTTAGATACATTTCCTTTTCTTCTCACTTCACCTGTCCAGGAGGGTTTTCTCCGTTCCGCTCCAGAGATCAATACTTTATAAGCTCTGCGTGTCTATCCACCCCACCTTTGCTGAGTTACTCACAGCCACAAATACTTTGCTATTTGTCTAAGCGGCTCTTATCTCGTTTTGTTGAAAAGCCCGAGGAACGTAACTGATTGGCCAGAGACAAATTGGAAGTGTGCAAAGGGATACTGGGCAAAGGGAGGGAGAGGACTAAGAGGAGCAGAATGGCCTCTTCCACCCGTCACCCGTCAATCTTCTCCATTCTGATTTTTTTTTCCAGAATCTCACGATCCCACAAACGTGACCTCCATACAGATAGTCCTCAACGTATGAACTCAATTTGAGTCCCAAGCAGCCAAACAAAATGAGACCAGTGTTTAATTAAAAAACACCTATTTGGTGAGCAGGTGTTCGGTTTTAGAACCTGCTGCTGAAAAAAAACAGAAAAAGACGAAGGCGAAGGAACTCTGCCTGTTGGAGGGCTGCCTGCCCATGTGCTTCCCTCCTCCACTCCCTTCCCAGCTAGCCACGTTTTGTGGCTGCCCTGAAAAGCTAGTTCCAGGTAGTCCTCAAGTTACGACCACAATCTGTTGCTAAGCAAGACTGTCGTTAAGTGAATTTTGCCCCCATTTTAGGACCTTCCTCGCCACCGTCGTGTTAAGTGAATCACTGCAGTTGTGAAGTTAGGAACACGGTGGTTGTGCATCTGGCTTCCCCATTGATTTTACGTGTCAGAAATTTACAAAAGTTGATCACATGACCTTGGGACACAATAACGGCCATAAGTATGAATCAGTTGCCAAGCACCCTAATTTTGATCACATGACCACGGGGAGGGTGCAACGGTCATAAGTGTGAAAAATGGTCCTAGGTCACTTTTTTCAGCGCCGTTGTAACTTCAAATGGTCGCTAAACAAAGCGAGGGGAGTGAGGTCTACCTATACAGCAGCATCCCATAATAGGAGACAGGTGCACCCCTCGCTTCGCAGACTGACAAACTCAGTTTAAAGCCAGCCCGAACTGAGGCTCTCTAAATCAGGCCTTTTCAACCTTTTCACCCATTGTACCACTTTTAGGATATGACAATAGCCGAGTAGCACCAATCGCCTAGCAAGGTGTCAAAAACTTGCTGACCAAAAAAAAAAAAAGGAAAAAAGTGATAAAGTACTGGTAGTCCTCAACTTACAACAGTTCGTTTAGTGACTATTCGAAGTTACAATGGCACTGAAAAAGTGCCCCCCCCCCAAGCCACAGCTGAGCAAGACACCTGCCTGCCCACCCAGCGGCGCTCTTCCTCCTGTCCGAGGTTTCCATTGTTGTGAGCATTTCTGTTGAGGATTGGCAGCAGGGTTGGGGTGGGGGATGTTTGGTTTTTATTCCCCCCCCCATCTGCTGGGTGGTTGCAGCAGATTTTGATCACTTCACATGACCCTGGGACACTGTGACCGTCATAAATATGAATCAGTTGCCAAGCATCTGAATGTAAATCACAAGACCCTGGAGATGTTGTAACATTCCAGCTGATTGGCGCTTCTTCTGGGCTCAGCAGAAGCGCCAGGATCAGCGCCGAGCTCCAGCTGGAGCCTGGCGCTGATCCTGGCGCTTCCACTGAGCCCTGACAGTCCCAAAGAAGCGCCGATCCTGGGGCTTCTGCTGAGCCCTGACAGCCCTGCAGCTCCAGCTGTCTCTCACTCAGGCTTGTGTGGTGCTGCCACCGGTTCAGCTCATTCCCCTCCCCTGCTACCACTTTTCTAGGATGGCCGCGTACCACCTGCCAGGTGCCAGTGTACCACAGGTGGTACCTGTACCACTGGTTGAAAAGCCCTGCTCTAAATCAGAAGTCCCCAACCTTTTTCGGCCATGAGGACACACACGACACAAGCAGGGCGACACTAGTGCCGCCTGACACTCGCTAGCCCTGCCTTGTTTTTGTCGTGCGAGCGCTAGCATCCCCCGTTTTTGCCGTGCGGTGCCCCGTTTTCGCTGCGGCACTAGCGCGAGTGAGGGTGACTGTGTGCACGCACATGCACACACTGGCCAGCCTGTCCTGTGGCCTGGTGGCCAGTAAAACGCAGCCCGGTAGTTGGCTGTGGCCCAGTAGGTTGGGCACCCCTGCTCAAAATGAAAGATTGCAATGATACGGGAATGTCCTTTACAGTCTTTGATTCTGGTGCCATCTAGTGGCAATTGCTAGATTTTACATACAGGAACATATTTGTCTCTGTGTGTGTGTCAGGTAGGCCTCGATTGATGGTCATAATTGAGCCTGACAATTGTGGTAGTTAAGTTGTGATGGTTGTAAAGCAGCTTGCCAAGTGAAGGAGCTTGGTTTTGCAACTTTTTTGTGGCGCTGGTTGAACAAATGCAGCTGTCGGTTGCCTGGAGCCAGAATAACACAGTTCATAGAACAGGGGCCTTCAAACTTGGCGCTTTTAGGACTTGTGGACTTCAACTCCCAGAATTCTGGGAGTTGAAGTCCACAAGTCCTAAAAGCGCCAAGTTTGAAGACCCCTGATATAGACTTTAAGAAGAGTGGACTACAACTCCTGGCTGGCTGAGGAATTCTGAGAGTTGAGGCCCACAAGTCAGAAAAGGGCCAAATTTGAAGACTCGTGTCTTAAATCTAACAAACAAAATGGAGCCGCTGGCTGAGGAATTCTGGGAGTTGGTCCATAAGTCATAAAAGGGCCAAGTTTGAAGACCCCCAATATAGACTTTAAGAGGAGTGGACTTCAACTCCCAGAATTCCTCAGCCAGCGTGCCTGGCTGAGGAATTCTGGGAGTTGAAGTCCACAAGTCAGAAAAGGGCCAAGTTTGAAGACTCGTGTCTTAAATCTAACAAACAAAATGGAGCCGCTGGCTGAGGAATTCTGGGAGTTGAAGTCCACAAGTCATAAAAGGGCCAAGTTTGAAGAGCCCTGTCATAGAACATCAATCAAGGAGTGAAGCAACTTAGAACAAAGAATTTCCTGACAGTGGAACAACCTGCCTCCAGAAGCTGTGAATGCTCCAACACTGGAAATTTTAAAGAAGAGATTGGACAACCATTTGTCTGAAATGATATAGGGTTTTCTGCCTGAGAAAGGGGTTGGACTAGATGACCTCCAAGGTCCTTTTCTTCCAGAACCATCTTTCTGTTTGGCTCTCCTCTTCAATAAACTGCAACCTTCTTTCTAAAGCAGTCGTCATGTTGTTTATTCCTGACTTGGACTGAACCATAATGAAGACTTTTCCTTCAACAGTCCCTTCCAAGTCTGCTATTCTGTTCTGTTCTATTCTAAACATAGAATCATAGGGCTGGAGGTCATCTAGTCCACCCTCCTGCTCAAACAGAAGACTTTACACCATTCTGGAAAATTGGCTGTCCAGTCTCTTCTTAAAAACCTCCAGTGTTAGAGCATTCACAACTTCTGGAGGCAGGTTGTTCCACCGGTTAATTGTCCTCACTGTCAGGAAATTTCTCTTTAGTTCCAGGTTGCTTCTCTCCTTGATTAGTTTCCATCCACTACAAATCCGAAAGTTATATTTATTTACACATGTATTTGTTTATTATTCACAAGAATATGTCATCATAAATGAGATCGATTATTTACCGCAACAAGTCTGCCTTGTTTTATGCAAAAGTGGATCGTTTGGGAGCAAAGGCATTTAAAGACAATTTAAAAAAAATAAAATAAAAACACATTCAAAATACATATTTTAAAGGATATCTCCAGGCTAACGTGTGTCTTTTTTTTTTTTCAACAGATGAACACAAAACACGGGATGTGATTTGATTCACGCCTACAAAAGAAACCTCAAAGAGTGATTAATTTTTGAGAGGGAGAGGGGGGGGGGTCAGTATCCAGAATTTTCTGTTAGGAATTAAAGCAATTAAAGAATGAAAGCCAGGTCTGTTATTCCAACCCCATTATTCTGTTATTTTTTTTTTCAGCCGAAGCAAAAACACCCTTCAACCGAGTCAAATTTGCATGGCTGGTAATTGCGCACAGGCGTCTACATATTGTCAACCACAATATTTATTTATTTTCCTGTTGATTGATTCAGTCTCATGAAATATTGTATTTACTTACTTATCATTCTGTCGATGAAACCTTTCTTTTTAAAGCACCTGACAGATAGCCAGACTCGCTGGCTGATTTATTATAAATCACCTAATTATAAATACTGCTCCTGTTTGTTGTTCCCGTTCGTTGTGTCCATCGCCCACTAACATTATGTGAGACATAATATGATGTCCTTTCATATGATATGGTCCTTCTGTGTATTACATGCATGCTAAATTGTATGACGGAAGACTAAAACATACGAATGCTGGCAGGAACTGTGTGTGTGTGTGTCTAGTTTAATGAAGAGAAGGACGAGGGGAGACAGGATAGCAGTCTTCCAGTATCTCAGGGACTGCCCCAAAGAAGAGGGAGTCAAGCTATTCTCCAAAGCCCCTGAAGACAGGAGAAGAAGCGACGGATGGAAACTAATCAAGGAGAGAAGCAACCTAGAACTAAGGAGAAACTTCCTAACGGTGAGGACAATTAACCAGTGGAACAGCTTGCCACCAGAAGTTCTGGGTGCTCCCTCACTGGAGATCTTCAAGAAATGATTGGACAACCCTTTGTCAGGGATGGTATCAGGACTCCTGCCTTGGGCACGGGGTTGGACTAGATGACCTCCAAAGTCCCTTCCCAGCCCTAGCTGAGATGGATCCCAATACTCAACTGATTGATGAAGCTACCCAGCTGGTATGGCCAGGGTTATAATGACAAATCTGGAGGATGTAGTATCGGACAAAACTCCCCCATATGGTCCGGAAGCAGATTGACTTCTAATAAATAAATTTGCTTTTTTTTTTTTTTTCCAATCAAGCTTCGGGAGGTTTTGGCAGATGGTGGGTGGGTGGGAGAAAGAGAGAGCTTTTTCAAATTGCGATGACATCGTGATGGGAGCGTTCCTCCGCGGATAAATTTACAGGAGGTCCTTTCAAAGACAGTTTGGTTTCGAGTGCTTTGTTTTAATTAGATTAGATTAGATAACCTTTATTGTCATTTTTTCCTGTGGGCACAATGGCCCACATTAAAAATGAAATTTAGTTGCTTCCTCTCAAAGTGTACACCTACATAACACACATTTAAAACATACTATATACATCATTGGCAAATAGATGGGGAAGAAATGGAGGTAGTGACAGATTTTATTTTTCTGGGCTCCAAGATCACCGCAGATGGGGACTGCAGCCAAGAAATTAAAAGACGCTTGCTCCTGGGGAGGAAAGCTATGGCAAATCTAGACAGCACGCTAAAAAGCAGAGACATCACCCTGCCAACAAAAGTGCGTATAGTCAAGGCCATGGTACTCCCAGTTGCAATGTATGGCTGCAAACGTTGGACCATAAGAAAGGCTGAGCACCAAAGAATGGAGGCCTTTGAACTCTGGTGCTGGAGAAGACTCCTGCGAGTCCCCTGGACTGCAAGGTGATCCAACTGGTCAATCCTAGAGAAGATCAACCCTGACTGCTCTTGAGAAGGCCAGATCCTGAAGTGGAAACTCAAGTCCTTTGGCCACCTAATGAGAAGGAAGGACTCCCTGGAGAAGAGCCTAATGCTGGGAAAGATGGAGGGCAAGAGAAGAAGGGGACGGCAGAGAATGAGGTGGCTGGATGGAGTCCCTGAAGCAAGAGGCGTGAACTTCAATGGACTCCAGAAGATGATAGAGGAAGAAGGCCTGGAGGAACGTGGTCTGTGGGGTTGTAATGGGTCGGACATGACTTTGCAACTAACAACAACAACATATACAACATATGTATAGACCTACACCCTCACATATAAGTAACATATAAATATTGTTCACTGTCCATCTTGAATACGTAACGGAAGGAGGAAGTTTGAGAGTTCACAAGGTTAATGCTGTATGGAATGAAACTGTGGCTGAATCTGGATGTTCAACCAGGAGGTTTTCTCCAGCATGACTCCTTTCTATGAATCAGTTTAATTTCTCCGGAACAAAATATTTTCTCATTTTCTTCCTTGTATTTCTGGGCAGAGAGTCCTCTTTCAGCTGCTCGACACAACTAAAAAACAACAAACCCATATGTCAGTGGCATAGACAAATCACACTATCCTCGGTTTACAACCATTCCTTTAGTGCCCGTTCGAAGTTACAACTGCACGGGAAAAAAGTGACCGATGACGGTTTTTCACGCTGAACGACCGTCGCAGCGTCCCCGCGGTCACGTGATCAACATTCGGCCGCTTGGCAATTTGTTCCTATTTACGACGGTTGCAGTGTCCTGGGGGTCACATGATTTCCCCCCCCTTCCAGCATGCAAAGTCAATGGGGGCCGTTTAATGACTCCGTACTACTATCTTAACATCTGCAATGATTCACTTAACAACTGGGGCCAGAAAGGTGGTGAACTGGGGCGAAGCTGACCGAGCAAGATCCATTTGGGGCTCAAATGGAGTCGTAAGTCGAGGATTATATGTAATAATCTATAACAGCGATGGCGAACCTTTGAGAGACCGAGTGCGCAAACTGCAACCCAAAACCCACTGATGCATTGTCGAGTGCCGGGCGGGTGTGGCCCATTGGGTGGGCGTGGCTGCGGTGGTCACGGCAGACTGGGTGGGACTAAAAAGTTCAACCAGTCAATTCCAACTTTGCAAGATCTTTTTTCCCACGAGAAGTTGAAATTGACTGATTGAACCTTTTTTTTTTTTTTTTTTTTGCAGAGGCCTAAAGCGAAAAGGTTTTATAAAATCCAGCTGAAGGCCCAGGACTGGGGCGACGGCTTGTGTGCCCACAGAGAGGGCTCTGAGTGCCACCTCTGGCACCCGTGCCATAGGTTCGCCACCACTGATCTATAATGTAATAATAATAAAGTTGGAAGGGACCTTGGAGGTCATCTACTCCAACCCCCTGCTGAGGCAGGAAACCTTTTACCATTTCAGACAAATGGCTGTCCAGTCTCTTCTTAAAAGCTTCCAATGTCATACGTTTTTTTCTTCAGTTGAGCCTGGAATAAACGAAAAGAAGGATGCGACGGGATGCTTTGATCTAAGCCGGCCGAAGTAGAGCTAGACGCTCAATTTAATCTTCAAATTAATCCGTCATTGTTGCCAACCGTTAAACCTGCCACCCACCCTCCAGAGCCCTGTGGCTATTTTTTAATGTGCTAAATGTGTGAGTTAGAATATCTCGCGCAGTGGGAAACCGAGAGAAATCAGCCTGATCTCACGCTAAAAAAAAAAATGCAGCATTTTGCATCTTTCCCGCACAGCTTGAAAAGCAGCGTGGTTTCCAACGCTGGGAAAGAGATCGGCTTTCTAGCTCCTCAAGGTAGAAAGAGAACTGCAGACTCGGGAGAAGAGGCTGGAAGTAGGGTTTGCAAGCGGTCCGTTGCTCTTGAAAAAAAAAATATTGTTTTATTTTGTTTGTTCTTAATCTATGTATCTGTATCCTGCCTTTCTTATTGTTTATAAATTACTTAAGGGGGCGAACATACCTAATATGCACTTGTCTTCCTATTTTTCCCAGAAAAACAACCCTGTGAGGTGGGTTGGGCTGGGAAAGAGCTCTCTAACCAAATCAGCCTCGCGGTTTCTTCAAATGTTCCTTTCCCTGCACTAGAGGCTTCTGGTTTTCCGCTTTATTCCCGGGTGGCTTGAGAATCCCTCTGCACTTTTTCTAAGAAAAAATCGGAATTTTATTGCAGAAGATGGAAAGAGGGAAGAGTGGCTGGCATCTTTCCATCTCTTCAAAGCTTCCCTCCCTGTCCATATATACCAGTCAGAGGAAGTTCTGAGGAAGAAACAAGAGATTAGACCCCCACACATAAAAAAACAGAAAACTCGCATTCACAACTTGAGCTTGGTTTGGCTTGCCAAGTGTCAGTTAAATCTTACTGCCGGTTAAACGGAGAAAGGAAAAGTTAAAAATGACAATTGATAGTTTTTGCAGGAAATACGTTATGTCTGGTTTAATGAAAAGAAGGACCGTGGGTGACATGATAACAGCCTTCCAATATTTGAGGGTCTGCCATGGGGGTCGACATGTTCCAAAGCGCCTGAGGGCAGGACAAGAAGCAACGGATGGAAACTAATCAAGGAGAGAAGCAACCTGGAACTAAGGAGGAATTTCCTGACAGTCAGGACAATTAGCCAGTGGAACTGTTTGCCACCAGAATTGTGGGTGCTCCATCGCTGGAGGTTTTTAAGAAGAGACTGGACAGCCATTTGTCTGGAATGTTATAGGGTGTCCTGCATGAGCAGGGGGTTGGACTAGAAGACCTTCAAGGTCCCTTCCAGCTCTGTTATTCTATGTTATTGAACTAACATTCTCTCTCTCTCTCTCTCTCTCCCTTTCTTTCTCCTTCTCTTTCTCCTTTCTTCTTCTCCTTCTCTTTTCTCTTCCTCCTCCTCCTCTTCTCCTCCTCCTTCTCCTATTTCTCCTTCCCTTTCTTTCTCTATTTTTCCTCCTCCTTCTCCTCCTCCTCCTCCTCCTCCTTTCTCCTTCTCCTTCTTCTATTTCTCTTTCCCTTTCTCCTGCTTCTATTTTTCCTTCTCCTCTTTTCCTCCTTCTCCTTGTATTTCTCTCTTTCTCCCTCCCTCCCTTTCTTTCTTCTCTTTCTCCTTTCTCCTTCTCTTTCTCCTTCTCCTTCTCTTTTCTCTTCCTCCTCCTCCTCCTCCTCCTTTCTCCTCCTCCTTCTCCTATTTCTCCTTCCCTTTCTTTCTCTATTTTTCCTCCTTCTCCTCCTCCTCCTCCTTCTCTCTCCTTCTCCTTCTTCTATTTCTCTTTCCCTTTCTCCTGCTTCTATTTTTCCTTCTCCTCTTTTCCTCCTTCTCCTTGTATTTCTCTCTCTCTCTCCCTCCCTCCCTTTCTTTCTCTTTCTCTTTCTCCTTTCTCCTCCTTCTCTTTCTCCTTTCTCCTCCTCCTCCTTTCTCCTCCTCCTTCTCCTATTTCTCCTTCCCTTTCTCTATTTTTCCTCCTTCTCCTCCTCCTCCTCCTTCTCTCTCCTTCTTCTCTTTCTCTTTCCCTTTCTCCTGCTTCTATTTTTCCTTCTCCTTCTTCTCTTCCTTCTTCTCTTTCTTCTCTTTCTCTTTCCCTTTCTCCTGCTTCTATTTTTCCTTCTCCTTCTTCTCCTCCTCCTCCTTGTATTTCTCTCTCTCTCTCTCTCCCTCCAATCGTTCTTCTCTTTCCTCACCAACTAAAACGCGCCATTTTAACTCTGAATGTAATGATCTAATTTCACACTTCTTACCCGTAACAGTTATCTCAGCTGGATTGTTCCCCTTGTCGGAGCGCAGACCCCGCTTTTCCATTCCTGGGGAGGGGGCATTTATTTAATTAACGGTGATCTTTTCCTGAAATTATTAAAGCCTGCATTGGGAAATAGGGTTGT